GCCAGCTTTTCCCCTTTGGGACTAAACCCCCAACCAGCTTTCTCACCTCCAAAATATCATGGAAGCTGCTCAGAAATTGCTCTCACCATCAGGAATGACTTCCTCTAAGAACTAGGCTCACCCAAACACTCACCACTGGGAAATACCCAGTGGGAGATGGCTCTTCCTAGGATGGTGTTGGAGTAGCGTGGCTGGGTACGCGCATTGCAGTCAGACTGAATCAGGCCCAATCCTAGATGTCCTACTTACTAGCTGCCTGAACTGCGGAAGTCTTCTCACCCTTCTGGACTCACAGATATCATCTATAAAACATAAATTACAATACCAGCAAAACCAACAATAAACAATAATAGTATCAACCACATATGGGTTCACATGCACAGTCTGGCACAAAGTAAGCACTCAGCACATGCCTCTATTAGTTCCAGTGATTAGCCGGCGGATAGAGACTTTTCAGAGAAGTTCCCCCTTGGACTTGCATTGTTAAACCTCCCTCCTCATTTACGTTTTCCCCCACCCTGGGTTTTGCTGTAAGAGGGGACTTTGAGCCAGCTCTGTAGCCAGTTTCTTTCTAGTTCCACCTAACTCTCCTTTCTCTTTCCTCAAAGTTTGGAAAAAACACAAGGTCATTATCTACCCAACCACCATTTCACTGTCCTCTCACGGCACTGAGGAGGGGACTGTGAGGTGACACATTGATCTCCGACCTGCAATGAGTACAGTCAGGTGGGTCGCCAGCCCCATCCTCCTTTGCTGACTATTGGAGGTGCAAACTCAAATATGTCAGTCAGGTGGGTGACAGGCTCCTCGGCCTCAGGAGACCTTAGCTATTCCTTTAGATTATGAAAATCAGCTGGGCCATGGCCTGAGGTCCTCTGGCCTGGTTCTTGCCAATGGGTGGAACATTTTTCCAGCTACATGGTGAATGGACAAATCTGCCCAGACAAATAGAGAAATTCCTTGAATACAGAGTGGCAGATGAAACAAGTGCACTTTTGCCCAACTTTTCAGTTTTCTTTTCAGATCCACTGTTTTACCAGTTTGAAAAGACAAGAAGAGTGCAATGGAGGTGGAGTGGATATGCCATCAAGTTCAAAAGCAGTGAGACTGAGAAACAGCTCAAGTCAGACTGGCCTAAGAGCAGAGACTGTCCCCTGGTCCAACAGCCAGGCCTTTAGCACCCTCCTCCAGGAACTGAGCAAATCTGAAAATATTTTTAATGGAGGAACTGGAAGCTTTAGGATAAAAACTTGTCCATATTTTTGGGGCACAACCTTGTGATAGCCCAGTTTGCCTTGTTAAGGTAAAATGTTAAAAGTCTATTCTGACTATTCCGCACATAATACTATTCTGAGTATTTCCATTCTCACCTCACCTTCTACCAGTCCAACTTTACCAAAACGAAAGATGCTGATTGGTTTGGAGGTTGTCTGTACCATGTAACTGAGTGAATAATGCTTAATATACAAATGGTACTCTGATGAGCTGATGGGGAAATCAAGTCAACAGTGACCAAAAGAACTTGCCTTCCTAAGTCCACTAGAAACAGTTCTGCCTCGGGAGAGAGTAAAGCCCTATGTAAATAATCTCCATTTAAATACTGAAAAGCAAGCACATTTTTCTTCTCCTGCCTCACCAGAAAGAAGGTAATAAATAACTTAGGACCAGGAGATACCCCTTTTATTGTGTTAGAGGTTGATGGGTGTTGATTCACAACCACGCTGGGTAAATGACAAGTCCTGGAATTAGTTGATAGCTATAGGACATCTTCTTATTAGAAGCAATGCAGTTTTCCTACCTCAGCCACCATGAAGCAAGCCAGTTTATTGTGGGTGGAAATGACTGAATGAGTTAAAAACTGGTGAAGAAAGAGGAAAGGACATAGTAGTGAATGGTTGCTCATCAGAGCAGAGGGGGTAGAGATAGGAGAGGTGGCCTTTAAACACATTCATTAATAATTTGAGGAAGGAAGTGAAGTGCAAGTTTGTGCATGATGCAATATTGTTCCAGTTACTAAACATCATGAAGAAATGAGAGGAACTCTAGATGAATTTAAAACACAATGCAAGGGCAATAAAAGGAAGAAGAGGTAACAGCCTTCTTGTAATTGTACTGTGAGTAAATCTTATTTAGTCTTTATAAAAGACTAAATTTTATTTCCTAACTACTTTACACTAGGGAAACACTGACTCTGCTAAAGATCTATGAAAATCAGGCCAGTATCAGCAACAAAATAATAATGTCCTTAAATGTTTAGAGTAATTAGGAATGATCTTGGATGAAGAAAAAAAAATGGAGTTTCTGGGTTTTAGTGAAACAGCATGATAATTCTGAAATCTGCAATAGGAAGACTGTTTCAGAGAAAAAAGTGGAAAGTCACTTCATCTAAAATTATTTTCACATCTTTAGTAACAGTTTATCAATAGAGTTACGGACTTAAGGTTAAGCTAGTGAAAAAGAAAAGAAATTAGGAGACTGTACAGATATTGATATTTTAAAAGGGAACACAGCTTTAAAAACTAGCTTTTAATTTCAAATTACAGAATGTTATTAAAGTTTCCCATTCCTATTTTAACCTTTTTGGACAGGTATGATAATGAATAATAAATACAAGTCAGAATTTTCAAAACAGGTACAGTAATCTTCAAGTCTGCTGAGTGGAGGAAGTGAGTGATTCAATCCATTTATTCAACAGATATTTATTGATGGAGTTAAAAATGAAAATCTAGGAGAAGAGATAGACAAGTACACAGGCACATAATACCATGTAGAAAGCGATCAATGCTGCAAAACAGCACAAATGAGAACCTCTGTCTATGTGAGAAAGAGAGAGATGAATGGATGAGGCAGCCTTTGGCAAGGCAGGAAGAAGGTCAGCCCCAACAGAGTCAGGATAGCGAGAAAAGTGACTCAGTGTGGCTGGTGATAAGAGGAGTTAGGTAAGCTGGGTCTAGTTCCAGTACTAGACATTTGCCTGAGGAATTTTGACTTTATTCTGCTGTCATTTCTAGCACTCTTAATGGCCTATAGTGAAGCTCGCTGGTCATTGATGTTTTTTAGAGTGGACGAGTGACAAACTCCAATTTTTGCTCCAGGAAGATTAATTTAAGTGGTGTGTGGGAGGAATGAGAGGGATGGGAGACCTCTTAGAAAAATTCCAGTCAAGAGCATACGGCTATGTTTACTGAGTTAATTCTACTATGTATCCAGTATTCCCCAAAATGCTCCACACACATACTCTCAATAATTATTTAATCCTGATAATAACCCTTTGAAGAAGTAGGAGTAAGTATAGCATTCCCATTTTACTGTTAAAAAACAGATTCAGAAAGGTTGATTAAATATTGTTGTACATATTAAAGTGGTAGAATTAGGCTCCAACCCAAGTCTGCCTGTCTTATAAACTCATGTCTTTTTAAAAACAAACAAAAAACCAAACACTATAACGTGTTGATACTATTCAAATAATGATTACTTTAACAAGGCCCATGACGGGGAATGGAAAGGAAAGGAAGGGAGAGGAGATTTTGGCAGAGTCAGAAGGATGTGACAACTGAAAACAGTATGATGACAAGGGATTTAAAAGAGTCAAAGTTTTTAGCCAAGATAACAGAATATTGCTGTGAACTCAGTTTTGAAAAGGAAAATAGGAAATCAAGTTTCAGACTTATTGTTTGAAACTACAGCAAAACATCCACATAAAAGAGGTAAGTTCACTTTCTCCAAAATGTGTAAATATCATGTAGAGATCATTAGCAACACACCCAAAATTGGAAGTGTCACTCTTCAGTGACAGACACATACTGAGGCTATTCTCTCTGGCTGTTCAGCCTTTGCACAGTGGTTTCTACCCCTCATCACGTTTCTGCCTCTCCAGGCTTGTCTTCAGTTCACCCCTCAGTGCCTTTTCCGGGAAGGTTCCCCAGTTTCCTGATCTGAGTTCTTTTCTCCCAGTACTTCTGTCCTTTTTGTCTCCCCATAGACTGAGCTGCTGGAGGGCTGGGGCTCTCTTCACCTTGACCGTTTTATAGTCTCTGAGGCTATCACTAATGCTGAACCTCAAAAAATGTGTGTTGACAGACTGACTGATTCCTATTGTTATCCTGGAAAACAACTACCCTGCCCTATTAAGTCACAGTTTCTTCCTTCTCAGGGCACTTCAGCGAACACCTCAAGACCAGGAAATCATCTTCCTCATCACATACCAGGGTATTATTCACGCAGTTTACTCACTGTAAAGAGTTCCCTTGATATAAAGCTAACCACTAGTCAAAGACTGAAGAATTACCTAGTGTCAATCAACTTTTTAACAAGCCCATTTATGGAAAGGGGGCATTGTGGGGAGACCCAACCCTTCTTTGCTGTTTCTGAAATACACAAGTGGTAGTAAAGGCGTCAGAATTCCTCTGCGGGAGAGTGTCAGGCACTGCACTCATGTTGTAACTGGGGACTATGATCCCTTTTTTCACCAGCTTTTGCAAAGCAATGTTCTTAAAAGTAAGGATTTGTGTTAAAAATAAGGATTTGCGTGTAGTGTGTGGTGTGTGGCATGGGAGTAAGGGACATATGGATGTTATTGAGAAAATCTCTAATGCACCTCTTTAGAATAAGGGAGTTTTGAGGTCCACCGAATTGTCAAATTCCATTCTACTCCACAGGCAGTTCCCTTGAGCGTTAGGAGGTATGGAAGTCCGGTGGTGCAGAGAACCTAATTACCAGGAGGATTTGGGGATTTCGGTAGGGCGGGGGTTTTCCCTAAGTGGGTTTTAAGGCTGCTCAGAGCTACGACTTGGAGCCTCACCAGGCCAGCACCTGGACTTTTATGCGTCAAAGAGGAAGAAAGCCAGAAGTTCTGTTCCCGAGGAGGCAGGAGAGAGGGTTCGGGGTCGCGGCGCGGAGATTGTGCGGGCCCGGGTGGGGCGGGGGCGGGGCCGCGACGGGGCGGGGCGGGCAGCCGAGGCCGGGGGCGGGGCCAGGCGCGCGGCTAACACTCTCTGGGGGCCGCTGGGCTCCGCCTCGCTGGGCTACGCAGGCAGGCGGCGGGGCTGCGGCACGGGCCCGGGCAGCACCATGGCGGCGGCGGCGGTAGCAGCGCCTGATGCTGCGGCGGCTTCTTCCGAAGCGCTGGCTGCGACTGCGACGGTAGAGCCCGAAGCTGGGGACGAAGACTGTCGCGAGGTCCGAGTGCTGCAGAGTCTGCGGGGCAAGATCTGTAAGTGGGGGACTGCCTGACGGGACCCACCCAGCGGCGGTGCGGCCGCGGGGCTGAGGGGGCGGTGTGCGCGCGGGGGTGGCGGCGTCGAGCCGCGCTGGGGTCCCGGGAACGTGAGGGGCCTGGGCGGGGGCCGGGCTGGGCGAGACGCGTGGGGAGAGCGAGCGTGGGTGAGCCTGGAAGAGGGGTGTGTTGGGGGAGGCGTCGCCCGGACAGGGCGGCGTGGGCTAGGCTGCCCCTGTTGGGAGGGAGTGGAGAGCCGGGAAACTGCCCGGGACTGGGGTGCCTGGGCCGCGCCGGCCTGAGGGGCTCGTCTTGGGGGCGCGGCCTGGACGCGCGGACGCCCCAGCTTGGGGCGCGGGCCGGGGGCGTGAGGCGCTTCCGGCCGCCCTCAGTCGCAGGCCTGCGGGCGGCTGCGGGCTCCCGGGAGCAGCCCGGAGGTGGGAGCCGAGCGGTAATTATCGGAGGCGCGGCCGGAGGAGGAGGGCGGGGAAGTGAGGCTGGCCGGGAGGGGAGGGGGCTGCCTGTTTCCTGGGCTCACGATCCTGGGCGAGGTTGAAAAAGGCGCCCCAGTCAGGAGAAACAGGCCGCCCTGCGACTCGAGTGGCCTCCGCGCTGGTGTTCGGGAGGGGTCGGGGCCAGACACCTGTACTCGCCCCACTTGAATCGAGAGACGGCGTGCCTGAGTTCAGGCAGGATGTAGTGGCTTCCTGTGAGCAGGTCTCAAAACACAGTCATCCAACCAGGTCTCTTAACCCACTTAATTCATTTCCTTCTCATGCATTTATGAACGGGCCATACTAGTTGACTTAATACAAAATTTTGCTTAGAGAATTATCATAGGCCATTTGAGTCCAATCATTTGCACATTTATTTTGGGGGAAAAAATGACTCTTTGGCATCAAATTGCCATTTTTTCCACAGTAATTTATTCAGAGGAAACACTTTTTTTCCCCTATTCGTAAGATATAGTAATAAACCTTGTTTTTGCTTTTGTCAAATATTTAGTTTTCTTGATTCAATATCTTCAGACTGCAAACGTGCTTCATATTTCATGTAAATAGACCTTAGTTATGACTAGTACTTTTTACTTTGTATGAAGGAAATCGAATTGCATTCAAATGGCTAACAATCCTGTTTCTTACACAGGATGTAAGATTTTCCTCTTTGTAAATAGTGATGTTACTAATTGAGCTTGGATTCTCTCACTGCTCTCTTTTCAAGTTGCTCTCCCTTTCAAGTACTTGAGATTTTATGAAACCTTAGAAGCAGTTATGTTAAGTTTTTTTTCTACCTTTCTGTACCCAGAAGTTGTCCTCAGGCCCTTAAGAGAGTACAATTCTTAAGACCTGAAAAATGACACCAGGAAAGTAGATCTTGTCTGTATCCAACTTCCCAGCATTGAAGTTACCTTCTAGGGTATAAAATCTTTTTAAGAAGTCAAATATCTTTACTTAATATTAGTATATATCTAGTTTAATATTTGAGAAAACTGTAAATGGCCAGAGTTTCCCACTTGATCTAATTTTCCAAATTTTTTACCACTTTACGTTTTAGTGCACTTGATGCTAGGCCCTCTCCATTGGAGCCTCACTGATTTACATAGCTGCAGATTATACCATGGAAATACATATACACATGTCTTGGAGTTGAGGGTTGGGGTTAAGCTGTTTCCAGAGGGACTTAGCTGCCCTTCACTTTCACCTACTCCTCGGCAGATATCACATAAGAGATATAACTGTAAGTGAAACTTGGGCCAACAAACAAGAAAACACAACTTTGTTTCTATGGCTTAGAGCAACCCCACTACCCAGCGGTGGAGACTGAACTGGAATAATACTACCACTTTAACCGTGGTCAAAGTATTACATCTGTTATCTCAGTTTCTTGCCTTTTGAATTGCTCAGCTTATAGCTTAGGTCATAGAATGTCTGCTTCGTAGGAGAAAATGTACTAGGATACTTATGTATAAAACTTCTTTCTTTGCTCTCCTTTTAGCTGGTATAATCTAGAGTTGGTTGACATTCAGGACACTGTGAAGAAATGCTGTTTTCTGTTTGCTTGAAACTGATGTGGGTTTTGCATGGTGGGGGTTGGGGGGACTGGAAGAGTCATTAATAGGTGCTAAAGTCACAGAAATGGGATGATGGTGGTTGTGACACTGAAGACACTAAGCATCTTGGGGGTGGAGGTAACCATGTCAGCATTCCTTTTCACCATATTGGGAGACCTTGGAGTAAAGCCTGATAGTGCCCACTAGCCTGAGGATGTGCTGGCAGAATCCAAACTGCTGACTGAGAGTCTCAGATCTGGAGAATTAGAGATCTACAGAGCTGAGAGGGACCTTGAAAGGAAATGTCCTTTTTTCTGAACTGGGGTAGGACCCGTCAACTCCAAATCATACCAGCAAAAAAATGGGCATGGATTGATTTATATATCTTTAAAGTTCTAGAGATAATAGGGCACAGCCTTTTTTAGGGGTTTCATTCCAGTATTTACTAGTTTCCCATATAGTTTACAAGGTGAAATACCAGGTTGACAGATTGAAAAACCATTTTGTGGTGGTCAGTATCAAATAATCAGCTGCCAGTAGCAAATCTAGTGTTGCTGACAATATTTTCTGTTTTACGTGCTTATCCCAAATTCCCTTAGGTCCTTTTAGTGTGCTAGGAAATTATGGCAGTTCCAAATGGTCTGCTTCGTTAATATTCAACAGGCAGGTTTGGCTGTTGGGTATCCTACAATTGTCATGTGAACCCTTGATGAAAGAAATTAAGGGTTACTTCAGACGCCATCCTTTGGTCTGGTCTGAACTCCTGTGCAGTGAGTGGCAGGTATGCTAGCGCAGCTGAAACAATTTTTCATTGCCCACCCAGCCCCCCAAATGAAAGAAGGGGATTAGGGCTTTCTCCTTTATACTTTCATGCTTCATGCTGTTATTTTATGGTGTCCTTTTCGTTTACTGCTTTTTGTTAGTAAGTTTGCTCTTGTCTGATTAAATCAGACTGTGAACTGCTGCTGAAAGAGCCCATGTCACCTCATGCATGGGTTTACCTGATCAAGGGAGACCAGATTTATAAGGGAGCCAAGTTTGAGGATTTGTTACATTGGGATGTATGGTATAACACAAAATCTGGGACCATGATATGTCCTAGAACCTGTTTGAATTCCTGATACCTTTAGATGAAAGAATGACCTAGGGCTACTTGGCAAGGGTACATATGATCTGCAGGGTATGCTGTAGTTTAGATGCTTGGTCAGGTTAGTTATGTAGGTTTGAATCACTTAATTTCCAACTTTTGTTAACCTCTGTGTGCCTCTATTCTCATGTATAAAAGGGGGATAGTAGAAACATCTATCTCCCAGGATTGATTTGAGGATTAAGTAAATGCTATTCTCTAATTATTTCTTCTGCTAGAATCAGGGGCAGTCATCAACCATCTCTTAAGAAGGAGTAAAGTAGGAAATAAAAACTAATCTTTATTTGATGTTCTTATCCAACGTGTACTGGAATTTCCTGGTATGCAAAGCTGATTAAAATCAGAAGACCTGTATTCTGTTTCCACATTGTTAATTGTTATTCTTGTGATGACTTTAGGTAGCTAGCTCACTTACTTTGCGCTTATCTTCCTCATCTTTAAAGTGGGAATAATGCTTCATCATCTATGTGTATTATGCATGTGACAACTTTCGGCAGCTAGCTCACTTATCTTTGAGCTTATCTTCCTCATCTTTAAAATGGGAATAATGCTGCATCTTGTACTCATTGTTCCCTCTAGCTGGGAGTGTTTTTCTCCTTTCTTTCACCCCATATTTATGTTGGAGAACTCCTGCTCATACTTCAAAAGCCTCCATGTCATGTCCATATCCTGCCTCTCCTTTGGGTTACTGCCACCCTCATCCCTAGAGAGAAGGTGTTTGGGCTTTGTACTGCTGGGGAATCGCAGTTCCTTGTCCATTTCCTTATTATCTAGCACATTTCATAAAAATTATCCTCTTAGACTGTGAGCTCTTTCAATGAATAAGAACACAAGAATGTATTCTTACTCATTTTTTAAAAAATTATTCCAATGTCAGCACAATGCCTAAAACAGTATAGGCCTTTAGAAAATGCTCTACCTCTCATGTGTCACTCTGAGGAGGATTTGAGATACAAGATATGAAAGTGTTTTCTAAGTTTTACAGCTAAACAAAATAGAAGAGATGAAATTATTAAGAGAAAACTACATGGATCTGTGGCAGGAAGTTTATCCCTTTCAAAATCACAGTGCCTACTGAGTTTAGGTTTGAACTGTTGCCGAAGCTGCCTCATTAAGAAAATGATTAAATTTTTCTAAATGCATTGATTGCTCATTATTAGGGGATTTGAATATTGTTCTGACTGTATTTCATGAATATTGTTACTAATTGGTCTTGAGCCCTGTAAAGAAAAAATCTCATAATCACCTTACACATTAAATGTTCTTTAATTATCATGGCAGGTTTGATTATTTTTTTTTTAGTAGTGAAGTATAAATCAAAACTTTTTATTGACTACAATAGAATTGAGAGGGAGAGATTAAAAAGACTTTATGCTAAGAATTCATTATCGGATATTTGAAATGAGATATTATTTAATAAATAATAGGGGAAAGATTTAAAAAGGGTTTGTTCATGCTAAGAATTCATTATTGTCAGAAATTTGAAATGAGATGATGAGTTATTTAGAAAGGAGGAAGAATCCATCTTTCAGATGAATAGAAATGAGAGAAAAGGTTCTTTGTAAAAGTTCCCAGAGCAGTCTGCTAATCATTTGCTCTGAGGAGGACAGGAGGTAAACCTCAATGAGTTCATAGAGTTTTGGGTTTTTTTTTTTTTTTTTTGAACTTAGAACTCTTTGAGTAGACTCTAAGAGACTGTGGAACTAATGTAGCTGAAATAAAACCTATCATTTTATCCTTTAATCATAGATGCTAATCCTATTTCCTTGTTAATGTTTTTTATGAAATTATTTGACAGTG